CGACAACTTTGTCGTTCGTGAGCTTCCATGTGACGATCGATTCGTCGATGAACGTGTCCCATTTCCTCTGCAGGAGGTTCAAGGTAGCAGTTTTCTCTGTAGCATTCAATGAACTGTGTCTGCGAACAGAGAAAAAAAACACCATCAATTACAGTAAGAGATTGTACTGAAGATGATAACGATGATGATAACAGCAATAATAAGAATAATCATCCTCATCACAACCACCATCATCATCGTCATCACCATAACCACTGTCATCAACGTCATCACCACCACATGCGACGTCATCATCATCGCTACCACTCCTACCACCATCACCGTCATCATCATTATCATCGCTACCGCCAACATCATCATCATCATAATCATCAACACCATTATTATCCTCATCATCATTGTTATCATAATCATCAACATCATCATCATTACCATTATCATCATCATCATCATCATAGAAAAAGCTCTGTCAGTAACATAGTTTGCGAATCCACTCCTTCACAAAAGTATATTCTACTTCCTGGATAGGAATACTCCACTTCCTGGATAAGAATACGCTACTTCCTAGATAAAAATACGCTACTTCCTGGATAAGAATACGCTAATTCCTGGATAAGAATACGCTACTTCCTGGATAAGAATATGCTACTTCCTGGATAAGAATACGCTACTTGCTGGATAAGAATACGCTACTTCCTGGATAAGAATATGCTACTTCCTGGATAAGAATACGCTTCTTCCTGGATAAGAGTACACTACTTCCTGGATAAGAATACGCTACTTCCTGGATAAGAATACGCTAACTATCTGATAAAAATCATTATCAATCAGCGGGTCCTTCACAGAACGTTGCCCTCGGCACTCCAGCAAGTCTCTTTATCTAGCCACTTCGTCAGCCCTATGTGTTTTCATATCTAATGTATATTTAATTTCTTGTATGCACATTCGCGGAGGTCAGCCTCGGCGTCGTTTTCAGGAAACCGTGCCCGCTATCACCGTTTGTTTCCAGGCCATCATGACGTGTGACATGGCCAAAATTTCCCAGCTTTCAGGATAACATGGTGTGTATTTATCAAATGTTGGATACGAATACACTATGCAGAATATCCAGGTCAACTGTTAATCACCATGAAGATCTGATCAAGATGTGCGCAACAGCATAGACTGTGGACAGTTAGCAAGTAAATAAGAAATTATGTGAAAGCGACAGAGTAAAGAATCAACACACAACTCAACGATAATTTTCATAAGCGACTCGCCTCCATCTTGACTATTTGCTTACCGCCTTTAAAGTCTTGACTGACTGCATCTACTGTAACTTTGAAAATATTTCATGATGAGAATCCCAGCTCTTCCACAGTGCGGCTCTCGTACCATTCCTCGTTAGTCTGAAAACGGTCTTTTTTCCGTAAACCACTCGCCGCGAGAAAGGCAGATTTGATCCAGTGTTCTTCAACTTGTGTGCACGCGCGGACCAGCACAACTGAGGGAATTGTTCCCCAGGTCACCTGACATCCTTCATCATCGTCATTTTCATGTTGGGTCGTTATATGTTAAATAGACATCTGAGTCTGTTCCTCCAGTCCATTCTATCCTGTGCAATCTCCTCAACATCATCATGACAGCTAACACAAAACAACAACAACAACAACAATTAAAAACACATCTAGATAGTAGTTTAGTTGTTAAACCTAATGTTTTAAAATTACAATTTCCAGTTAATGCTATATCCGCTGTTGCGTAGAGGTAAGAACATTTAATATACTAGGCTGGTGCGTTGTTTATGATAGACGAAGCGCAGTAGTGACATCTGTTTTATTTCATAGTGAGGTCTTTATTACTGACAATGTTGAGTGTCGTGGACGGATGGAGCTTTCACAAAACAGATACTGCGTGGCCGCGCCTTTACTTCCAGGGCCAAATTATCATATACAATGCCTAATTGTATTTCATGCAGAAATATAATGCAGGAATCATGGCTGACCACCAGGACACTTCCTTAGACTATTAGTGGAGCATCGATTGTAAAGCTCTGCTCTAGTATATGGAAGGGGAGGGTGGATTGTGAAAAGGGGAGGGGGGATTGTGAAACGTGTTCTACTAAGCTACTTTGCCCGTAGATTCTGAAAGCTGAGGTGGCACTTGACTCATTGACTGCTTAATTTTTACAAAAGAAGAAAACATAACGTGGACCTACTCTATCGAATTCCAGACCAACTGTTTGAGAACGTCGAGTCCCGCATCTTCACCCACCAGGTCCATGAACGCCACGTACATGTCATGTGACATGGGCAGAGCTTCCCAGGTGGCTGGATCGTCCGAACTGATGACCACTGGGACGTTCTGGGCCAGCAGTGGCGCCGCGGCGTGGTTTCTCAGATCTTTGACCAAGCCCAGTAGCTGATGGGGAGAGATTACAGTCAGATTTTTATGTTCTGTTTGCAGGATATGAACATACAAAGTTTAATCATATAGTTTAGATGAAAAGACATGTGCAGATAGAGTTTAATGTATAGTTCAAAAATAGAATTGAGATGTGCATGTATAATTTAGACGAAAAGCAAACATAATAAGTTAATGTATTGCTTATATGAGAAGAAACCGACAGAGTTAATACATAGTTTAAATGAGAAGAGACATATATCAGTTGTATTGTTAAGATGCGAAGACGTTTAATGTATTGTTTATTCGAAAAGCTATAAATGAGATGAGAAGAAACATAAGTTTAATCAGAATAAACATACCGAGTTTAATGTACAGGTTAGAAAATATGAAATATACCGAGGTAAGTGTATAGTACAAAAGAGATCTAAGAGATTTGTTATTTATTTTACGCTTCAGACCTGGTGTTAGTTGTTCCCCGTTTACTTTGCAGAATAACTTCTATAATCGCTAAAATCTGAAACAAGAATGTGATCTGTGCAGATGGCACTTGGATTTTATTTGATGACTGACATGCGGGTCGCCACCATTTTTGTGTGTGGGTCGAACGACCCTTTCACACAGGTCGCCTAAGACCATCGAAATACACATATTCATTGAAGTTATGAAAAAAAAAAATTTGTTTGTGGGTGGCCACAACATGAGGAAATTGTATCAAACGGTCGCAGTATTAGGAAGGTTGAGAGCCATTGGGGTACATAAGAAGGCTCACAGAGTTTGTTGTAAAATTTAGATCAGGCGGGAGAGAGAGAAAGGGATAGAAAGAGATGTGGGGGGGGGGGGGGGGGAGAGAAACTGTTTGAGAACGTCGAGTCTCGCGTCTTCCCCGACCAGGTCCATAAAGGCCAGTCAACCTTCCTATATGAAAGCAGAAGACCACTGTATTTAGATTAAGTGCTAGCCACAACGGAATCCGCATCCAAATCTACAAACAAGTCAAGATTGCGGATTCATAATTTTACCCACGTGGACAGTAACGTTAAATAAAGATTCCTTTTCACGCCTTTAGGTCAATCGGGCATATGGGAAGAACACCAATATTTTTATGCATTATGCCAGCCGTCTTTACTTCCCCAGGACATACATCCTGGTACCCGATTTAGGCTGGATCGGCCTGCGACGCCATATATCATGATAAAAATTCACACAGCCAGCAGTGGGTTTCGATCGCAGTTCATTGGAATTACGAGTCGGACTCGCAACGCCTAAGCCACGGATGCCGCTTCCACATGGACAGGCATCATAGAATACTGGACATGTGCTTCAGACGAAATCTCTATATGCAGTAGAAAGATCCCATGTCTGGTCATTTAGCATTGAGGCGGAGACCCAGCTGTATGGGCCAGTGGAACACATGCATGGCAACACAGCCTTCAAAGAAGCCTGTGACCTTCTCATGTGACAGTTAGTCCATGGAGAAAGACAAGAAGAAGAAGATGGAGTGTGATGTAGAGTTAAGAGAACGCTTACGGTCAGTCCATACAAGCAACTCCACAACCACTACTGTTGCTGTTGCTACTGCTACTGCTGCAACTATTACTATTGCTACTGCTGTTGCTACTACTACTATTGATGCTGCTGCTACGACTACTAGTACTACTACCACTGCTGCTGCTACTACTAATGCGGGTCCTGCTTTGGTGCTGTTGCTAATACTACTGAAGTTGCAGCTGCTGCTACTGATGCTGCGACAACCACCACCACTAACACTACTATTACACAAATTGTCCAGTCTTCATTATGGAAGCTGGCAGTTATGTGTATTCTGCTATAAATAGAGATTCTGCAATTGCCTGTTCTTAATAAAATTAAGAATAATAATATGGCCAGAACTTTTTTTTTTGCCGCAATGGTAAGGCGTCATTTTTTTCAATCATCATTATCATCATTATTAGGTGCCTTGCCGACTGAGGTGGGCGATCATGCCTCTCCATAATCTGCGATCTCCTGCAGCATGCATCAGTTCGTGTGCCGACACACCTCCATGCCATGCAACAATACTGTCAAGCATCTTCTCTCGTTGTCTTCCTCTATTCCTCCTTCCACAGATCTTTCCAGTCGTCATAACATGTTCTATTTTCCCTCTTCTCATAGCATGGCCGAAAAATGATGACTGTCTCCTTCTGATGTCTGTGATAAGTTGTCTTCGGGCTCCCGCCTCTTTCAAAAACTTTTGGTTGCTCTTTTTGGCTGTCCAAGGTATTCTAAGCATTCTTCTGTAAAACCACATCTCTGAGGCCTCTAACGATTGTTTGGCCTGCCTACCGATTGTCCAGGATTCACATCCATATGTTAAAACTGGATGTATGTAGCAAGCAAGAAATCTTTTTCTATCTCTCAATGACAAGGATATATTGCACAAGATGTTTTTCATTTTATAAAATGCAGTTTTTACCTGTCCAATTCTGTTTCTTATTTCAGTTATGCATCTTCCATCTGATGTTATCCATGTGCCCAGATACTTAAATTTATGTACTTGTCCTAAAATAACACCATTGACTTTTATTACTCATTTAGGAATAATTTGTTTCTTTGATACCACCATTACTTCTGTCTTTCCATTATTCAAACTGAGGCCCATTCTTCCACAGTCTAACACCATAATGAATTTTTTTCAATGTTACTGTAAAAGACTGGCTGCCAGCTCGACCCCGCCTTGAGAGTATACCAGGTTCAGTCCGGGAAAGTACTGGTGGCCGGCTTGATGCTGACCACATCATCCATCGTGTGCCGTTGGTCTATAAAATATAGGTCTAGCCCTATATACCCAAAACGCCTGAAAATCGTGGAAATGGGTCCTTTACTTTTACTTTACTTACTACAATAGACACTTTGTTCGGAGCCACGCAGACATTTTGAGTTGAATACCAGCCTGGCTAAGGCGTTGCGAGTCCGACTCGTAAGACAGCATACCGCGATCGAAACCCACTGCTGGCTGCGCGGATTTTTGTCGTGGTATGGGGACGTCGCAGGTCGACCCAGCCTAAAATGGGTACCAGGATGGGCTGTCCTGGGAAAGTAAAGACAGCCGGCGTAATGCTGACCACATTACCCACAGAGTGCTGATGGTCTGTAAAAATATGGGACTCTCTGCCCATATGCCCGATACGCCGAAAGGCGTGAAAAGGGAACTTTACTTTTTTTTTTACTTACCAGCCTATTCTTTTCAGGAAAAAAAGCCCTGAATATTATATTGATTTTTTTTACCACCACCACTAATAATAATAATAAAAATAACAATAACAATAACAAAAACAATAATAATAACAACGTCACTAATAATAATAGCATGTGTCTCAGGAATCAACTTGTAACTGAAAGCACACGTGAAGTACCTGATTTGACAAAGGGTTGACTTCAATAGCCACATTCTTGGACTTGACCAGCTCAATCAGCTTGGGATGTTTGGTCAGCCCAAACCCGTGCCCAATGCGATTGGTGTTGAGTAGCAAAGCGTCCACCAGGTTGTAGTCAACGCTTGTGCCCTGCCAGGCTGTGAGATAAAGTTCGGAAAGTTAGTTGCGTATCTTTTGCTGGACGTTGCAGAACTAACTTGGTGCTTTGTGTCAAAGATGTATGTGACGAGCTGTCACTATCTTTTGATAATCAACTATGTGCCGTCTCCGCAACGAAGGGTGGTAATAATGCACCCACTAAGAAATTCGAGAAAATAAAATATTAAAGCCCCAATATCTTTCTTCAGTGGGACCCTCCAACCACGGTCTCAAATGTAACAGGGATTTGTTTTAATTTGTTTCAGAGTAGGCAGCCAACCGTCAGTTCCTGGGGACCGTGGAGTTATGGCACTCGTTTTGTGGATGGTGTCTGCTTTGTCTGTAAATTCCAATTGGGTGGGGGCGGTCTCTAGAAACATAGAAACGTTGATATCTTTCTGACGCAGGTTATTTCTATGACGCCTTTTCTCTAAAGTTTCCTGCGTCTGTCCTCTTTCAAACTGTGACAGTCGGTCTTTCACTGTCTGCCTCCACAGGAGTCGGTCTGCAGATGATCTCTCCAAGTGTCTGTGTCAATGTTGAGACCTTTCAGGTCACGTTTGCATACGTCCTTAAAGCGTAGCTTTGGCCCTCCTGCCAGTCTTATCCCTGTTAAAAGTTCACGATACAAGAGATCCTTTGGAATGCGACCGACCTCCATGCGAGAGACATGTCCCAACCATCATAGTCGTGTTTCCTTCAGTAGCAAGTACACTGTTGATGTTCCTGCTTGTTTTGTGTACATACTCATTGGGGGACAAAGTCTGGCCATCATATACCAAGGAAGCGTCTCATACAGCGCTTGTAGGGGCTGCGTGGTCACGATGCGCCTGTGCAATAAGTTCGGGTTCAATCCCTGGTAAGGGCTGATATCTTTTCAAGTGGATTTTCAGTAATTCCCCCTGGTCTCAAGGTAGTTAGTTAGATCAGACGCATGTGTGCATTGTTGCGCACGTAAAAACACAAAACCTTGGCAGTTGGAAGTCATAAATAGTAGCCTAACGGCGCTGCCCGGGCAAAATATGGAGTTAAAAATCTACCCAAAGTATTTCAGGATCGTCGTCGGTGCTACAGAGCCTTGCACGGTGCTTAAAGCTTGAGTTAGAAGTAGAACAGAGCACTTCTGGGTAATAACCGTGTGCCAAGATGTTGATGCGTGGTTCAAACCTCAAACAGCCCATGTGAAAAGTGGTTAGCCTTTTTTGTTTTTGTTGAGGGACATACCGTGTCCGGGTTTCAAAGCTGTGAAGGAGCGTGCTCAGGACGAAAACTTAGTACATTGTTTAAAGTAACTTGTTTGTTTTGGACATCGAATAATAGAATGCCGAGGATAGTGGAATTGTGAACCGTATTCACTCACTTTAAGCTGTGAAATCACTTAAATTTAGTCTAAAATGTAATTGCCGTTGAAAAAACAAACCAGCAGAAGAATGAATAAATTATTTAGACAGCCAGAAGTATAATGTGGATGCACAGAGTGACGCTAGGGCCCTAAAGATAACTTATCACAATAAGACAATAATCATTGTTTGTCACATTATAAGCAGATGAAAGCACTGGATCATGTGACACCTGGAACATGTCACAATCGAAATGATTTATAGACAGAAGAAGAAGAAGAAGGCGAAGAAGAAGAAGAAGAAGAAGAAGAAGAAGAAGAAGAAGAAGAAGAAGAAGAAGAAGAAGAAGAAGAAGAAGAAGAAGAAGAAGAAGAAGAAGAAGAAGAAGATGAAGAAGAAGAAGAAGAAGAAGAAAAAGAAGAAGAAGAAGAAGAAGAAGAAGAAGAAGAAGAAGAAGAAGAAGAAGAAGAAGAAGAAGAAGAAGAAGAAGAAGAAGAAGAAGAAGAAGAAGAAGAAGAAGAAGAAGAAGAATATAAACGAGACTAATGCATTTGATATTTGAAGCTATTTCAGAGAAAGAAAGAAAAGAAGAAAGAAAGAAAGAAAGAAAGAAAGAAAGAAAGAAAGAAAGAAAGAAAGAAAGAAAGAAAGAAAGAAAGAAAGAAAGAAAGAAAGAAAGAAAGAAAGAAAGAAAGAAAGAAAGAAAGAAAGAAAGAAAGAAAGAAAGAAAGAAAGAAAGAAAGAAAGAAAGAAAGAAAGAAAGAAAGAAAGAAAGAAAGAAAGAAAGAAAGAAAGAAAGAAAGAAAGAAAGAAAGAAAGAAAGAAAGAAAGAAAAAAAAGAAAGAAAGAAAGAAAAAGAAGAAAAAGAAAAAAAAGAAGAAGAAGATTAGAAGATGATAATGATAATGATGATGACAAAGATGGTGTGATGATGACCAAAAAGAGGAGAAGAATGATGCAACTTACCGGTCTCTGCGGCATGGAAGTAGTAAGGCAAAGAAACCGGCGGGTTCTGCTGAGATGGTGCCAACAGCACGTCGATAAAGTCCAACAGAGTAGGGTTGGGATCCTCCTGTCCCACAAGGTCGAATCCTAGGAAAAATCCGGGATATTTTTTGTAGAGGTTTACGGATGTTTGCACATCAGCGCCAATGTTTGTGACGGCTGTGGATCTGTGAACAGGGGATGACCATCAGCGCAACAGGGCAATATAAAAGTGGCAAATCAAAATAGAATATGTATTGCATGCACAATTTTCCTTCTTCTTCGTCTACTGCTTTCTTATTTTTTTTTCTTTCTTCTCTTTGAAAAAGGAGAAGAGAAGGATAAGAAAAAGAAAAAAAAAGACAAAGAAAAAGAAGAAGAAAATGACGAGGAAGAAAAAAAAAGAAGAAGAAGAAGAAGAAGAAGAAGAAGAAGAAGAAGAAGAAGAAGAAGAAGAAGAAGAAGAAGAAGAAGAAGAAGAAGAAGAAGAAGAAGAAGAAAAGAAGAAGAAGAAGAAGAAGAAGAAGAAGAAGAAGAAGAAGAAGAAGAAATAGAACAAGAAGAACAAGAAGAACAAGAAGAACAAGAAGAAGATTCCTGGCTTGACAAACATTACCTCAGACTAGACATGATGATCTTGGCTCCAGTGAAGTTGCTATGGGTTTTGAGGAACTCTTCTGTCACCTCTTTGTATAGTTGGAGTCCATATTCGGCATCGTGGGTTGTTCCGTTCAGCTCATAGTACTGGCGATAACACATTATACGTTGTGTTAGTAACTAATTATTGATTTAAGAATCGACCTCATGGCACACTGGACATACCCATACGTGCTCTGTCTCCCACAGCAATGACATTAAGACGCAGAGACTAGCTGTCCCAGTAGCAGACTGGTTATACACACGTCGTTCGCTTCTTCTCATAGGTCACCCGCTTGTCCGACCTACCCCTAATTCACCGTTCACATATTCCTTCCTACACATGTGTTTTTATGTCGTGTCTTCTATCAGAATTCGTTCACAATTGGTCATCAGATTGTCTCTCTGTCCAGTACGAGTGTTCCACAGCTATCGCTTGTGTATCTAAAAATTCCACTCTTTCCTTTCCTCACACTCCTGCATATCCAGAAAACTATACACACTCGTGAGTCCTCGTAATGTTTACATGCCGGAGCTTGGTATCTACTCCTGCCACATTTGTCCATTGTGACCCTTACCAGTACCGACTGAGAATCAGACACAATAATTCCTCCGGTTACCCTATTAATTGTGTTAATAACATGTATATTTAATCTGTATATAGCAGGTGTCACTTTACATTGCTTAGAAATGGAACGAAAATTTACCACTTAGAGAACCGGTTCTCGACCTGTGGGTCGCGACCCTTTTTTGGGGGTCGAACGACCCTTGAACAGGGGTCGCCAAAGACCATCGCAAAACACATATTCATTTAATTCATTTAAGTTATGAAGTAGCAACGAAAATAATTATATGACTGGGTGTCACCACAACAAAAAGATCTGTATTAGAGGGTCGCCACAACAAAAAGATCTGTATTAGAGGGTCGCCACAACAAAAAGATCTGTATTAGAGGGTCGCCACAACAAAAAGATCTGTATTAGAGGGTCGCCACAACAAAAAGATCTGTATTACCACAACAAAAAGATCTGTATTAGAGGGTCGCCACAACAAAAAGATCTGTATTAGAGGGTCGCCACAACAAAAAGATCTACATTAGAGGGTCGCCACAACAAAAAGATCTATATTAGAGGGTCGCCACAACAAAAAGATCTATATTAGAGGGTCGCCACAACAAAAAGATCTGTATTAGAGGGTCGCCACAACAAAAAGATCTGTATTAGAGTGTCGCTACAACAAAAAGATCTGTATTAGAGGGTCGCGACAACAAAAAGATCTATATAAGAGGGTCGCCACAACAAAAAGATCTATATTAGAGGGTCGCCACAACAAAAAGATCTGTATTAGAGTGTCGCCACAACAAAAAGATCTGTATTAGAGGGTCGCCACAACAAAAAGATCTGTATTAGAGGGTGGCGGCATTAGAAAGGTTGAGAGACACTGACTTGAAGTGACTCCAAATAGGCGCTAGAGTCTCCCTCCCTCCTCCACCCTTCCCCTTTTCGCCCCAAGATATTAAACAATTAGTAAAGATAAACAGAAGAATGATAAGAAGAACACAAAGAAATAACAGGTGCAATAGAAATGTCTTTAAGACATTAACTCACAAGGAGAAGTGTTTCCTGTAGGAGGAGACAAGACACAATTATTAACAAAGAAGAAATGGATGGTGTCGCTTCTTCTTCTTTCTTCTTTCTGTTGTCCGTCTCACTGACACCAGGATGTAGCCCAGTGTCGTGGTTTTGTCGTCTCTCTGATACAAGGTTGTAGCCCCGTGTCGTGGTTTTGTCGTCTCACTGATACCAGGTTCCTGTCGCTTGTCATGCTTGTGTCGTCCCACTGATACCAGGTTGTAGCCCAGTGTCGTGGTTTTTGTCGTCTCACTGATATCAGGTTGTAGCCCAGTGTCGTGGGTTTTTGTCGTCTCACTGATACCAGGTTGTAGCCCAGTGTCGTGGTTTTTGTCGTCTCACTGATACCAGGTTGTAGCCCAGTGTCGTGGTTTTTGTCGTCTCACTGATACCAGGTTGTAGCCAAGTGTCGTAGTTTTGTCGTATCACTAAAAACAGGTTATTGTAGCCCAGTATCGTGGTTCTGTCGTATCACTAAAAAAGCAGGTTATTGTAGCCCAGTGTCGTGGTTTTGTTATCTCACTGATACCAGGTTGTAACCCAGTGTCGTGGTTTTCTGTATTTGTCTTGCACTTTTCCAGTGGCTTGGGTGGTGGGTTCATCTCTTTTTTTTTTTTGCAGATTTCGGCTACATCATTAATCCATAACTTTCTTGGTCTTCCTCTTGCTTTCCTCCCAGATGTTCTGCTGTAATGAATCTGGCATACATTTTTGTTTGGCTGCATTCTCACTAGATGGTCGAACCATTCATTTTTTGTTGTCAATATAATTCAGACATGGTTTTATTCCGACTATTTCTCTAATGGTGGTATTCGTAACCCTGTCACTTCTGATTATATTTATATACGTTTCTAATTATCTAATCCCATTTTACCTCTAATTGATCGTTTTTATATACTTTGTCTAATAATCTAATCATATTTCCCTTCTACTACTTGATTACATTTATTTACATTTATAATTATCTAATACTATGTCACCTTTACTAATTGGTGATATTTATATACGTTTACAATTACCTAATTCCATGTCACCTCTACATTGTGATTATATTTATCTATGTTTGTAATTACATAATCCCATGTCACCTCTACATTGTGATTATATTTATCTATGTTTGTAATTACCTAATCCCGTGTCACCTCTACATTGTGATTATATTTATCTATGTTTGTAATTACCTAATCCCGTGTCACCTCTACTACCTGGATTTATTTATAAAGATTATAAATTATTAATCACATTTCATCTCTGATTATTGATATAAATTATTGATGTGTGTATACGTTTACAATTATCTAACACCAAACCACAAATACAAACTGATTTTATTTATATACGTATAATTATCTAACACAACGTCACAACTACTAATTGGTCTCACACACACACACACACACACACACATACACACACAAACACCCACACAAATACAGTGTACTTTCAATGACCCTATCCTGTGAAAATATTGCCGTTTCTATTTTTGTAATCACTGTCTGTGGAGTTAATGCAACATATCCTCTTATTTTGTGTCTTCTTTGGGTACTCTTTTCTACCTTTCTGCTCTGTTCAAAATTGATTCTTCTTTTAGAAGTGCTAGCAGTATTAGTATGAGGCACTTGAGTATCAGAAAATGACACCATCGTTTGTTGAACAACCACTTTGATTGCCTGCCACCGTCAAGGAACATAAGCTCCACCCAAAAATACTCTCTTTAATTGTTAAAACACCATTATAGTTAAGATCAACATACACACACCACATTATATATACACATATATATATATATATATATATATCTTATATATATATATATATATATATATATATATATATAATCGTCATCATCATCATGAAGCAGGTCCTTTGCAGAACGTCGCTCTCATCACGGTCTGCCTGAAAGAAACTCGGTCTCTGGTCAGGTCTCCCGCCACTAATGTACTTTCATATTCAAGGAGTCACTTATATCCTGTGCCCATCTTCGTGTGGGTCGGCCCCTGCCCTAGTTCCTGATACCATGCCTTCTGCTATTATTTTTTATTCCCACTGCGCTATGGCGCTTGATATGACTACACTATTTCAGCTTCTGAGACTTGCTGCTGTTTGTTAACCAATCTTCAGATCTTTTAAAATGTCAGTATTTCTTCTCTTCTATGTCCATGGTATAGTGAGAATCTTTCTATAGCTCACAGCCCCATGTTCCTTATATTTATATATATGTGTGTGTGTGTGTGTGTGTGTGTGTGTGTGCGCGCGCGCGCGCAGGTGCTCTAGTGCGTGTATAACGATCAGGAGTCACGTCACAACTACTAGTTAATTTTATTTAAACGCGATGTGAAGGTCCAGTGATCTTCCACATATACTCACGCCTGCCATCTGACTCCTCAGTTCAATATACTGGACATTGTCGTTGTAAAACTCCTCCAGAGCTTGTCTATAGTAATCCCTCATGATGGGCGCGTGCGACAGAATAGAAATGACCTGAGAGCAGAAGAATAAAATATTAATTACTTGTGAACGGAACAACAGACTATTAATTAATTGTAAGGAGAACAGAACAAAAGTTGCGTGTAAGCAAAATAACAGAGTATTATTTACTTATAAGGAGAAGAACATAATATTAATTACTTGTGAGGAGGAGAATAGAGTATTAATTTCTTGTAAGCAGAATTGAATAATAATTACTTATAAGGAGAAGAACAGAGCATTAATTGTTTGTAAAGAGAAGAATAGAGTATTAATTAGTTGTAATGAAAGGAACATAATATTAATTACTTGTAAGGAGAAGAACAGAAGATTGTTTACCTGTATGGAGAACAGAGCAATATTAACTAGTAAGAAGAAGAACATAATATTAATTAGTTGTTAGGAGAAGAACAAAATAATTATTAGTGGCAAGGAGAACAGAGCAGTAGATCTTTGTAAGGAGAAAAACAGAATATTAATCAATTGTAGTGAGAAGAATATAATATTGATTACTTGTAAGGAAAAAAAATATATTGTTAATTACTTGTAAGGAAGACTCACTATTAATTACTTGTAAGGAGAAGAACAGAGCATTAATTACTTGTAAGCAGAAGTATAGAGTAATAATTACTTTTCATAAGAATAACATAATGTTAATTAATTGTAAGGAGAAGAATAGAGTAATAATTAGCTGTAAGAAAAGATTAATAATTACTTGTAAGGAGAGGACATAAAATTAATTACTTGTAAGGAGAAAAACATCTTAATTTTGTAAAGAGAAGAATAAAATATTAATTACTTGTGAGGAGAAGCAATAGAATAATAATTACTTGTAAGGAAAACTTTATATTAATTACTTGTAAGGAAAAGAATATTATATTAATTTCTTGTAATGAGAAGAATATTATATTAATTACTTGTAAGGAGGAGGGTCACAAGTGAGCACATAGATCCGTCTTCCATTCGGGGTTCTTTCGTAATATCCTACCGCCAGATGACGTTACAGGACAGTCCAACATTTTAGAGGGTAGTAAGACTGGGTTTCCCAGTGCTTTTAACGACCCCAAAACAACTAGAACTGGCCCTAAACCCAGCCCACCTACGTCCCACGAGAGAGTACAGCCTAGGTCCCACGACTGCATGCAGCCTGTCTACCACCCCCTGAAATATTAGACTATCTCGTGACTTGTGGGTTTGCCCTGTTTGGGGTAGGATATTAACAAAGCATCGGTCTTTGTAACCAGGACGCACCAAATGCACATCTATATTTCTTCTTCTCAGCCTTCATCAAATGCAAACTCTGGTTGTTCGTCCATTTCAAGACTTTGGTCTTGTTACAGAACTTGAGTTTTGCCTACACATCTTTTCCCAGATCTGGCTTATGTGTATGCAGACTGTTTGTTCCTGGTCCCTCAGGTAATACATTCCGACATTTAAGGAAAGACAATTAATTGTCGCCTTTTACGACAGTTCTTTTAGGGATCAGTGGGTCTATTCTTCCCTCCCTCCAATAGGGACACCGGAACCCACACAGGGCTGTGTATGTAGAAACGTGTGAGTCATCCTTGAATGACAGAATGTTGAAGAGAGCACAGGCACGCTCCCTGGTAAGGAGCTCAAAGCCGTTTGTTGCATCCATTGCAGATATTCAATGGATGTGTCGTAAGTTCACGAGTCATTTTTTCACAGAGATCCAAAGAGATCGTCGTTAAAGCTTCGGAGTTCGAGCACTGCTTTGAAATCCCAGTAACGCTTTCATCGTTCGATTTAACTCAACACATAGGAGAAACCCAGTGTTTATGTAGCACTGATCTGAGTTCAACGGTTTTAACTCTCAACATGGTAGAAGAAAAACATGTTTATGTGCACTGACCTGAGCGAAAGACGGTTGTTAATGTGCACTGACTTGAGCGAAAGATAGATGTTTATGTGTACTGACCTGAACGAATGACAGAAGTTTATGTGCACTGATCCGAGCGGAAGATAGATGTTTATGTGCACTGACCT